GGTACTTGGAGATGAAGATGTTGGTGTTCCTGTGGCTAGTCCACCCCGAATAGCCATGGGGGCTGACGCCCATTGACCCGCGGCCTCCCCCCCTTCCGAGCGCAACGAGGAGCGTTGGTACAAGAGCAGAACGAGGACAGGAGGGAGGAAGGGGGTGGAGGAGGAGGCATCATCATCACCATCATCCTCATCCTCATCATCACCATCATCGTCGTGTTCGTCATCGTCATCGTCACCATCATCATTGTCGGCGTCATCATCACCACCACCACCATTATCATCCGCATCATCATCATCATCATCATCATCATCATCACCACCACCACCATCATCATCATCATCATCACCCATCACCATCATCATCACCACCATCATTGCCACCATCATCAACATCATGATGATCATCATCGTCAATATCATTATCGTCATCGTCATCATCATCACCATAATCATCATCAGCATCAGCACCATCCTCATGATCGCCATCGTCATCATTATCGTTATCGTCATCATCATCATCATCATCATCATCATCATCGTCATCATCGTCATCATCATCATCGTCGCCATCATCATCACCGTCAGCATCACCATCATCACCATCATGATCACCGTCATCGTCATGATCACCATTATCATCATCGTCATCATCATCATTATCATCACCATCATCATCACCATCATCGTCAACATCATCCCCACCACCATCACCATCACCACCATCCTCATCATCTTCGTCATCATCACCATCATCGTCATCATCACCATTATCATCATCATCACCATCACCATCATCATCATCATCATCATCATCATCATCATCATCATCATCATCATCATCATCATCATCCGCATCATCATCACAAACATCATCGTCATCGTCATGGTTGTCGCCCTCGTCATCATCGTCGTCATCATCATTACCATCATCATCACCATCACCACCACCATCATCATCATCATTGTCATCATCATAGTCATCGTCATCGTCGCCATCATAGTTGTCATCATCACCACCGTCATCAACATCAGCACCATCATTAGCACCATGATCATCATCACCACTCTCATCATCACCACCACGATCAGCAGCAGCATCATCATCACCATCATCACCGTCATCATCACCACCCTCATGATCACCATCATCATCACCACCATCATTATCGTCACAGCATCATGATCATCAACACCATCGTACTCGTCATCTTCATCATCATCACCATCATCACCATCAGGAGCACCACCATCAGCAGCATCATCAACATCGTCATCATCATCATCATCGTCATCGTCCTCGTCACTGACATCATTGTCATCATCACCACCGTCATCACCATCAACACCATCACCATCATCATCATCATCATCACCCTCATCATTATCATCATGACCACCATCAGCACCATCTTCATCATCGGCATCATCACCACCATCCCCATCATCGTCGTCATCATTGGCATCATGATCATCAGCATCATCACCATCATCCCCACCGTCGTCATCATCATCATACTCATCATCATCAGTATCACTATCATCATCACCACCATCATCCTTCTCATCATCATCACCACCATCCTCACCATCTTCATCATCATCATCATTACCCGCATTATCACCATCATCATCATCATCATCATCGTCATCATCATCACTATCATCATCAATGCCATCATCACCATCATCACAATCGTCATCATCATCGCCCTCATCATCAGCATCATCGTCATCATTGCCATTCTCATCACCGCATCGTCATCATCATCATCATCATCGTCATCATCACCGTCATCATCACCACCATCATGATGATCATCATCATCACCGCCATCAATCTCATCATCACCATCATCGTCATCCACAGCATCATCATCGTCATCATCATCGTCATCGCCATCACCACCATGATGATGATCATCATCATCTTCATTGTCATCATCACCACCATCATGATCACCATCATCATCACCGCCATCAATCTCATCATCACTATCATCGTCATCCACAGCATCATCATCATCGTCATCATCGTCATCGCCATCACCACCATGATGATCATCATCATCGTAATCGTCGCCAACATCATGATCATCAGCCTCATCATCATGCTCATCACCATCATCGTCGTCAACATCATCCACACCACCATCCTCACCACCATCATCATTTCCAACACCATCACCACCACCATCATGCTCATCATCACCATCACCATCACCATCATCATCACCGCTATTCTCATATCTTCGTCATCAGCATCATCGTCATCATCATCACCATTATCATCATCATGAACATCATCATCATCGTCGTCATTATCATCACCATCATGACCATCAGCAGCATCACCATCATCACCAGCAGCATCATCATCGTCATCATCGTCATCATCATCATGATCGTCATCATCATCATCATCATCATCACCGGCATCATCGTCAGCATCATCACCACCATCATGCTCATCACCATCGTCATCATCATAATCATCACCATCATCACCATCCTCCCCATCTTCATCACCGTCATTGTCACCAGCATCATCACCATCGTCATCATCATCACATCACCGTCATCACCATCATCATCATCATCATCATCATCACCATCACCGTCATCACATCGGCGGCGCTCGCCGAACTCGTGCCCGCCCCACAGGTGCACGGCCGCTGGCAGCGCTGCGGCCGCCGGGCCACCACGGCGCGGCGGCTCGCAGAGCGCGTCGGCAGCACCGTCGTGGTGTGGAGCGCCGGCGCCACAAGCAGCGGCGAGGCGTCCTAACTTCAGGAGGGAAAAAACACACAGACACAATTAATCGTCGATTCCCCAGAAAATATGGAAAATATGGAGAATCCTGCTATTTGTGTGTATTATATTTGTGTGTCCCAGGGCCCCTTCATAACCTGCCGATAGGTTCACGATCGGCCACAGCCAAGGCCCGCGCCTTCTAAGAAGCGGGGGTGCTTCCAAGAAGCATTCCCCCCTCCCCATACCCCCCTCGGCGCGCCGCCGACACGAGCGAGTGTGGTTCGTGCGGCACGGTCTCAGAGCACCTCTGGCCGAGATGGTTGTGCTCCACTACGTCGGCATTCTGTGTGCTAAGAGCACTGTTCACGGTATCGGAACACCCTTGCGTTCTGAGAGCATTCCGTGATAGACCTATAGGACTACCAGGAGGTACAGTGGAAACCCATGCCAAGAAACACCCTGCTTGCTTCCAGGGTGCCCTGGGATTTGGGGGTTTCGATTGCTCTGCTATGGAAAGCGCGTCATGCCCGCACCGAAAATCCATCGACGCTCTGGGGTCTCAGGGTTGGGTTTCTTGTGGAAGCTTTCTTGTGGACTGGCCTCCACTGTAGGCCTACACGAATACCAGGAAGTAAGAGCACTGCTCGCGCTAACGGAGCACTCTTTTATTCTACGAGCATTCCGTGGGGAGGCCTACAGGAAGACCGGGGCGGCCGGTCCCTGCGCAAACCACCGTCGTGGCAGCCTCGGCATCCGGCCCGCTGGCCGCCTCGGCCACGCGCAGAGGGGGGTACGGGGGAGGGGGGAAGGCTTCCTAGAAGCACCCCGGCTTCTTAGAAGGCGCAGGCCTTCTCTATACATGTAAGGCCGGCGCCTTCTAAGAAGCAGCCTCCTTCTAAGAAGCCTGCCCCCCTCCCCTTACCCTTGTGCGCGCCGCCAACCGCCTCCGCGCCGCAGCAGTGATCAAGCAATCGCCGCCCACAGGCGTCCGCTTCTTCACGGAGCGGCCTGTCGCAGTGCAGCAGCAGCCAGGACTTCCTCGACTACGTCCACTTCGGTAGCAAATCGTGGCAGCCTGGTGTACCCTCTGGATTCCGCTTTTAGCGTCGATTAGCGTCGATTAGCGACTGGGAGTCGATGAGATAGCGCCGATTTAGCGTAGACTAGCGTCGATTTAGCGTCGATGTAGCGTCAATGTTGCGTCGATTAGCGTCGACTAGTGTCGATTAGCGTCGATCCGCAACCGACAAGATGGTGCGGGAGGCTCCCGTGAGTTGCCACCGAAATGGAGCGGCAACTCGCAGTGCAGCAGCAGCCAGGACTTCTTCGACTGCGTCCACCACCCCTGGATGGTACGAACTTTGGTGGGATTCGTATCCTGACGAACATTCCTACGTCGCTCGTCCGTCTCCTGTCGCATACATACCTTGACGTAGTTCCCTTATGTCCCTGATACCGCTTGACACGACACGGTGTTCAGCTGGCCAAGAGGAGTTGGCCACGCTGCCCAGGGCAGAGAGAGTCAGCAATCGAAATGCCAATAACATAGTCAGCAGCATCAGCATCATCATCAGCACCATCCTCCCCCATCGCAGATCTCGAGCCCTCACGCGCCGCGGACAGGGCCGCGACGTGGCACCTGCGGATTTGGCGAGCCCTGTTCGCCGTTGCCCCGCCGCCGCCGCTGCCTCTCGGGCCACCTGTTGCCGCGCGCGGTTGGAGCCACTGGGATGGCCGTCCGTCGGCTCGAAGGTCAGGGTTGTCTGGCATGGGAAGTGGAGTGGTAGTGCCTTGTTTCGTGTCGTCGTTGCAGGGTCTCCACCTCCCCCGCTTTCCGCTGCTGGACAGCCCCAGCCTTGTCTTCCGAAGTGTCCAATCCAATCCGAGACGTAGAAGCGCGTGGGGGGGGGGCGGCGCAGAGAACCAGCACCGTCAGCATCGCTTCACCGATCCCCATCCCCACCGGGCCATGGCACCTCAGCCCCACCATCCCGCCACCCCAGTTGGGGATACGGGGTTGTCTTCAACACATGGCTTGTGCGCGCGCGAGAGATGCTGTTTCCTGGTCGACGCCCCTGTGCAATCAAAGATGCCCATGTGCTAAGGATCCCATGTGTGAAAGCGTCCCTGCAGGCCTGCAGGCCCCTGGGACCCCGAAAGGAGCAGTCTTTATCCCCAGGCCGCGCTGGTGGGGATGGGGATCGGTTACAGTGGGGGCCCATGCCATCCCGTCATCAAGGCCGTGAAGGATGCGGGCAAGGCCCGCAGTGCCGCGCGCCGCGGCAAGAGCCCCGAGCCAGATGGGACCGCCCGCAGCGTGCCGGGTGGTGGCGGCGGCGCGGGCCTTGGCCAATTCCGTCGAGGTTCAGGGCTGCGAGCTGGCGGGCGCCGCCAGGGAGATGCGCGAGAAGTTCACGGGCCAGCAGTCCCTCTACGGGGTGGTGACGTTTTTCAAACACAAAGTCATGTGTGACCGGCGCCGCTGTCATCTGTGCATCGCGATTTCCGGTAACAGTCCACCCTGCTTGTCCCTAGGGTGCCCTGGGTTTTTGGGGTCTCGATGGTTTTGCGATGGAAGGCGCGACGTTCCCACGCCAAAAGTCAATGGACGTCCTGGGGTCTCAGGGTTGGGTTTCCCGTGGAAGGTTTCTTGTGGACTGGCCTCCACTGTAAGCGATGTTCACAGAAACAGAAGTGTTCAGTGGTCCGCGCG